GAATATCATGATGATCACTCAATTTATAGCTACTTTCATTCAGAAAGATCTTAGAAGTTAGAACTTTCTAGTTTGTGAATATAAAATTGAAAGTTTCTGTTTTTTTTTTTTTTAAATGTAGTAAGAAATAATTGAACAAGCTAGGGAAAGTTTTCAAATCTATTGGTTTGACAAAACACATGGTGTAAGTAAGAGATATGTGAGAGGTAGACTAATAAAACACGTGTGCATGTGTACGTGTGGCAGCCGTACTATCCAGTTCCAAAGGGAGAGACGAAGCCGAGGCAGTACGTGATGAAGAAGGTGGCGCCGAGGAAGGTTTGGCCGCCAATAGCTCTAGGAGCGTCGATGGCTTGTTGGTACGAACACATTAGCCGTACCATTTGTCTCCTCATATGCAAACACCACCGTGTTTGGCAATTCATCGCCCGTGTCTTGACCCGAAATAACAGGTTTTTATTCTTTTCAACTTTTTATTGATTTAATTTTTATCGATCCGTTTAACCAAATTTCTAATCAAAATTAAGACCCCAAAAAAAAAAACGGATCAAACTATATATGGCAAGGGAATTCTCATTTGTTTATGATCCGTAGAGATCTATAGACTTAAAATTCCAAAGAAATAAAATCAAATGCTTATACTTAACTAGTACACAAAAAGCAGCCGCAAGAGTCAAAATGTTGGTGATTTTGTATCACTTTTTGGAGTGTTTTAAAAATTTAGTGATTTAAAAAGTTAGGTTTAGGCTAAATTTAGATTTTATTTCCTGCTTGTGGTTATTAACTTTTTCTAAGTTTAGAATCATATTCAATTCATAGGAAACAAATGAGGGATGATGTAGCTAGTTAGTTGCTGTCATCAGTTACCAAACCACCTCCAAATGACTAACTCTACTCACAATTTAATTCGTAGCCGCATCTGGTCGCTGGCTAGTTCGTGTCTACTCATTTTACGATTACTAAATCAAATTAATTTACATATATACAAATTGAGATATAGTACAACTCTACGTGGTATTAGCACAAGTTACATCAAATAACCAAATATAGAGAGCCACGTATTTTAACATGCCATCAGTATATCTCCGCTCATTGGAGAAGAGGTCTAAGACAAATGGAGACTTATTAGGCAACCAACCTGACTCTAGTGTTATGCTAAATTTTGAAATTCCAACCTGCTAAGTACTTATGACTATGTTTAATTGGAGCAATTGAAATTGATTTTACTTTTGAAATGTCTAGGTTGGTTGATCGGCCTATTTCAGTGACATGTCCATATAGAGTTTACGATTCAATTCTATAGTTTACACTTTATAGGAATTAAAAGTAATGGTTTAGAAATAATGCTCTCGTCCTACCAAAACAAACCAACCCTTCGAGATTAAATAAAATATAGAAAATGGAATAAAAATCCCTTCGATTAATTTCTATAAAAATCAATAGCTATTAATTTCTTAATTAAAAAAGAAGAAGAATCAAGTTCAATCAAGTTTAAATAATCATCATCAGGAATAAGTAAATTAGCTATGATGATAATACACCTGCCATGCAAATCCATGACTCTTTATTGTTTTTTGATATATAATCTACTATACATTTTTGCAACACTTTTTGGGGTTCCTAATCGGGTCAAATTTTATTTAATTTTGACCCGGAAATCTTCAATCGGATCTTTTCTTATTTTTGACAAAATTAAAAAACGAAAATTAATCAATAAAATCTAAAAATATATATTTTCTCAACTAATTAGTATACCTAAACTCTTTATTTATGGCATATTCTCTACCATTTTTATAGATATAGAAATCAAATATGATTATTTAATGCTAATATAACAAATTTGAACTAATTTCCTAAAACCTTTCTACCTAATTAAAACATAAATATATGATTCTCATTTCACTTTTATATGATCTTATATTTATATTATTTTGAACTATTATAAAATATATATACTTAATAAAAAAATTTGAATTTTTCTGCATATGCTATGATTCAAATTTTTTAAAATGGACATATATTACTCAATCGATGAAAAAAAAAGTATGTGTACAATCTATATTAACATTTTTGAAAAACAAATTTGCTTAATCAGGTCGTATTTTTTTTTTTACTCTGACCCGGAATTGAGTCATTCAGATATTTTCTTAATTTCTACAATTATCTAAAATGGGACAATATACCACGGTGAAATCTTAAAATTAACAAATCGAAATACAATTATTTAGTATTTTAATATACATTTTAAAAATATTTTTACGGGTTGGTCTATAAACACACACTAATTTGAAATATATATATATATATATATATATATATATATATATTATAGAAACTATTTGAAAGCAAACTTTTAAATTGACTCGAATTATATGTCTTTTAAATAAAAGTGTTATTAAAAGAAATAACAAAATGATGTTTAATTTTACGGGACATGATTATATGGTGGGACGGGTCGGATTTGGATTGATATTAATACGGGATAATATATTACGGGTGAAATCCTGGGATTAACAAATCAAAATACAATTATACAATTTTAAACACAAAACAAAACAAATACAACTTAAAATTTTCATTTTTAGTTACAACGCATGTGACTCGCAATGTACAACAAAAAATATTATATACAACAAATTTATCAGTTTATAAAAAGACAAAAAAAATTAAATAATTAACCCGCGGTACACCGTGGGTAACAATCTAGTGACTCATTATTGTTGTAGGGCATATGTTGATTTATTAATAAGTACGAAACTACATTTTGTCATATCATCTAGTTTACTAGCTAATAATAAATTTTCTCTATCCAGGACTGTAAACTTTTTAATAGAAGGTTTCATGTGTCACACGCACAACGCAGCGTGGCACACTCTACACAACATTATATGTGGGACAGGAAGCAAACTCGATACGTATCTAGACATCGTACGAGATAAACTAAAGTGCAACGTGACCATCTTCCACGGAGAAGACGACGAACTCATCCCTGTCGAGTGTAGCTACAACGTTAAAGAGCGGATTCCTCGAGCACGAGTTAAGGTTATTGAGCACAAAGACCATATCACCATGGTCGTTGGCAGACAAGATGAGTTTGCCAGAGAGCTCCAAGAGATTTGGAAGACTTCTTCTTGCTAAAATTATGTTTGATGAGAGCTTGTGATTTATTATGATTGTTCTATGTAATGAGTTGGTAAAAATATTCTTATAAGTTTTATCATTACAAATTAAGGAAATCCTTATGTATCATGAGATAATCCAGGAAATGGAGTATTAAATAATAATGTTTGCATCTGTTTTATCATATTCATATTTTTTGTTTATATATAAATAGGTATGCCGACTTTTAACTTTGGTATGCCTTGTTTATTTCGACCTTTTTAAAGATAGAAGAGTTGTCTACAAATTTAATTCTTATATATGAAGCTCAAAATATATAGTCACCATTGTAAAAATGTAGACAGACATAAGATATTGCGGTGAGGTTTTTTCCTTTTGGTTTATACCACATTTTTCTTTATAATGTACTCTTCTATAAGTTCATATCCTAGAATTAACTTTGTCAAGTGATGATACCTTATCTGCCTCACACAATGATGGCCCAACATCTTTAGACTGAACAAAATCTAATCGAAGAGAAACAAACATTTGACACTGCATAGTAAAAGACTTAACAAAATCTAATCGAATGTTCACAAAAAAAAAAAAAAAAAAAAAAAAAAAAAAAAAAAAAAAAATCTAATCGAATAAAACTAAGTACTCTATATACTCCTACCAGTTAGCCACTTTTTTTGTTTTGTTAAAATAACATCTGACACGTTATGCTAAAAGACTAAACAAAATATAATCGAAGAAAAATAAAATTAGATACTTCTAATCAACAGTTACCCGATACATAATTAAACAACCGCAAATATACTTTTCAGATTTGAACGTCATAAAGTTATTCTATTAATGCTGTAGCTTTTTTCTTTCTATACTCTTCTTAGAATTGATCAGATAACCATGTAATTAGATCCGGTTTATCTGTTTTGTGATTTAGTTTTGGTTTACTTTGGTTTAGTGTAATTGTATATAAGACCAATTGTAACAACATTTTCTGATTGAGAAAAATAAAAAATCATTTCACAAGTTTTCTTTGTTCATGAATTTTATCATGGTATCAGAGCTTTTGGTATAATTTGTTTTCTGAATGGTATACTTATATTTGCATGTGAATTAGGCGATAATTCCCTAGAAGTTGGTCAGATTGGTTGAACAAATTCACCAATATTAATGAATGTCTTGGACCCATCCAACCATATTATTCTGTCACTTTAAAGCTTTTAATATTGCATACCCATATTCAGTAACAAAGTGAATGAAATTTTGGGAAAGCGCTCGTTCTATGATCCGAAAGGCCCTCACCATTACCAACGGACGTAAAATCCTTCACTTTCCAACAAAAATATATCGATTTCTTCTTTTTCAGTGTTTAGGAATCACTTAAATTGTCTATATGGATGGTTAAGTATCCCACAATTTTTGAATTAACGATTCAAAACTCTACAGTTTCAGGGAATCACTAGTAGTTTGACGAGATTTGTATTTTGGACAGGGCTTTTTGTTGTATAATGGTGAATATGTTTTTGACAGGACTCTATATGTTTTCGGCCGGTTATATTTGAATCACTACTCTATATGTGAATTATTATAGTGCATTTCCGTTATAATTAGTACATAGTTTTCGATTTACTAACATTCGTTCAACGTCCACGGTGTGAAATATATAGTTGCGAGATTTTTTAAATTATGGTTTCCTATAAAAAAAATACATAATTCTATAAATAAAATTTGTGAAGCATATCAAATTTGAAAATTTTTACTATATGATCGTTTCAATTATAAGTTAAAGTCCATTAACACAAATCAAAATTTACTTCACTTTATAATTATCAAAATAAAATCTCACATATAGATTGAAAAATATAAAAGACTTATATATGATTATATGAATAACGTTTTTAGGGAAAATAATCAACGCTCCCAGAAAATGTATTATTGATAATGGCATAGAGCAACCTTACAAGATATTAAAATAAAAATTATAAAAGCATCCGAAAATGTAATTATAATTATCATAATCAAGAAGAAGTAATGAATAATTATTAAATGGTTTAATTTTTGGGATTCTCCAAGTAAAAGTTGCGTTTCTCTTCCTCGTCCATGAATGCGGTAACGGGGAAAGACTTGCCGATTCCCATAGGAGTCTTGAAGTAAATCTTCTTGCTTTTTGGCTCCTCCATACTCATCTCCACGATAGGTACCCACAAAAACATCTGCTTACTCTTCACTCCTATTTAAACGTACACACAAAAACAAATACATGATTTACACAAATAAAACTATATATCTAATTATCTACAGATATATCACAGATCCTACCTGTCATCTTCTTCATACAACACTTGTCGACATAGGCGGTGACTTCGAGACCGTAGGAGACACGAGTGTTGGTGGCTTCGAAGAAATGCTCGTAAGGAGTGTCTTGCTTCATCCAAACGTAACCCGTGGCTCTAACCCTTCCACACTCCACAAGATTCTTCAAGGGCATGACTCCTTTTGGAAACCCTAGCTCCTCTAGAAGCTCCAATGATTGCTTGTAACATTCTTCCGCTCCGTACACGATCTCAGCCCCTTCTCTCTCCCCTCCGACAACTACGACTCCCTCGCTGGCCATTTAGTTACGAGAATTATAGAATTCTACAAGAAAAGATTAATGTTTTCTTCAAATATGAAGAGGAATTTATATAATGTTTGTGGTGAAAATTTTGGAAGATAATGAAATAAAAAGAAGAAGGGAGAGATATATTAGAAGATGGGGTTGGTTGGTTGAGCGGTGGGTTGTGTGAGTTATTTATTTGGTTTGCCTAATTCTCTCTCTTGTTACTTTCATGTGGTTTTTGTTTGGTTACCTAATTGTCCATTTATTTAGTCAAAGTGAATTAATATTTCTTTCTTAAGAATAGTCAAATACATCTTGACCTATTTAGTAGATGATGAATATTGTGGGATTTTATTCCTAAAAGGTCCTTATTGAATTAGGCAGTTTAATTCTTGAGTAGAATATCTTAACAAAATCTTATCTTATTTATCATTTTAAATTGAAATCTAGTGTTCTTTATTTTAAAATACTAAAATCTAGTGTATTCAATCAATGGACAAGGATTTCTTACTACTATATACAAAAGAAACAAATGAATAGGGGTTTATTGTGAAATTATTTGGTTTTAAATAGCTGGTTTTATTACAATGTTGTTACACCAACTCACCATTGTTTAAATTTATGGGCCAAGCCCATAACTATTTCAGAGATACCCAATAAAAGATAACCGGACCTATAAGTGTGCTGATAACCGGAAATGCAACAGATCTAGATGTGTTGACAAAGCAAAAACAGAGCACGAAGATCATCCGGATGAATTTATTATATTTGATTAAACAACGATTCCATGTAAGTAGATTTTACTCTTAATTCCTAGAAAAAGAGATGTTCTTGTTCAGAAGTCTTCTTCTTGTTATTCTAAGAATAGGATGAGTTTAATAAACCTTGACGTCTTCTAACTACGCTAACATCATAAGTCTTCTTAGAGCAAGCCCAATGGGCAGTTCTAAAGGGATTCTTGGTGAGAATCCTTATGAATAAAACCCAAAAATAAATAAAAATGTGATTAATGGTAAGGTGCGTTCCTTACTTTAGAGTTTTTTGTGATTTTTAGAGACGCATACGTGGCAAGTTTTGATGGCAAACAGAAAAAGTATTAAAAAAAATCTTTCCCGACCATTCTGCGATCTCTCTCTGTCTCTCTTCTCTTCTAATCTCCGAAAGACGAAGAACAAATCGGAAGAGAAAAGCCGGCGTCATGATCATCAAATCGTCAACAAATCAAGCCACAATCGCTTTCTGAAGGTATGATTCTATGTGTTTGATTGTGTAGATCGTGATGAATTAGGGTTTTTTTAGATTATATCGAAATTAAGGTTTGTTGAATTGGGAATTGATTAATTTGATCACACACAGATTCTTAGAGAAATCAAAGAGAAAAAAGAAACACCACATAGTCTTTTTGGTTTTGATTTCTCTTCTTAGCTCATTTCTGAAACTATCTGTAATGAGAAAGATGGTTTACTCTGTTTTTCGTATACTATTACAGGTTTTAAGGAACATTGATCTAGTCTATGGAGGTGGAAGCATAGGTTTGATGGGTTTGGTTTCACAAGCTGTTCATGATGGTGGTCGCCATGTTATTTGGTAACTCTTCATCTAATCACCATTTAAGTGTCATACTTGCTTACTCACATATCTGAATAAGTCTCTCTTTTTTCTCATCTTTGGTGTTATTTGACCACAGAATTATTCCCAAGACACTCATGCCTAGAGAGGTATTCTTCCTTTAATCCCTAATTAAACCCTTCTGATCTTTGATGCTTTTATTGCTTTACCAGGTTAGTAGCATTGATTTCTTCAAATCTTCAGCATCATTTTAAAGCTTTTATAAATTCTTAAATTGTGGAAAATCAAAGTATTAAAGAAGAATAATGCTGATTAAAAAATAGCACCGAAAAGTGTTTAACTCTTTGACTGTTTTTGTTGGCCAAAGAGGATGGAAGAAGAAAATGTTGGTAAAAACATGTTTTGTTTCTTGGTCAAACTCAAAAATGTAAATTGAGTCAGAGGATAAGTCCTTTTTCTACAAAGGACAATTCTGCAGATGAAGCATAATCTGGTGAATTCCATATAATAATAATAAACTTTTTGTTTGGAATTTCTTTGAGTAGAGAGTTGTTTTGTTAATCAAGTCTCTGTGATATGTAGTTTTTGCTTAATAAAAGAGTTAACCGGTTTAGCTGCTGCTTTCAAATTTATACACCAATTTTACAATGGCTTAAGTATGTTATTGGTGCTTATCTTTCTGGAGTTGAATACCCTTTGGTCTCTTAATTGGTCTGTTTCTTATTCAATGACAGGTATAATTTGGTGTAAAGCAATTTGTTTTTAGGTTTTTGAGAGGAAAGGCCGAGACTAACACTTATCAAGAAAGGCTGAAGCTGAAGGGATGGCTTAAGTATGTTTTCCTTTTTCTTGAGTTTATTTCTTACCTCTGGAAAGAATACATTTTTGAATCTTTCTCTGTTGTGAAACAACAAGTTCTCATAACTTTGATGCTAATATTTGTTATAATTTTTTTTTTTTAAGAAATCTACTTAAGGACTCTACCATTGGACAAATTTTTTTTTAAGGATTCATCAAAAACTCTTAACTTCAAAATTGTCATAATTTATTATTAAAATATGTTTAAGAATCCTTTTAAGGATTCAACCATTGATGTTGCTCTTATCTCTTTGACTGATCCTATGAAGCTAAGAACTTCATACATATCGGAGGTTTTACTCCGGCGAGTGCAAGCACCGCCGCAGGTAAAGTCCAAAGCCCTTCGCCGCAGATTAGCCCTGAAGCCACCGCCGGAACCATAAACTCTGCTTTCTTCCGATTCATCTTCTCCCAAACAAACACTATCAAAGTCCCAACACACATGTCAATCGCGAAATAAGCTCCGACAAGAAACGGAACCGCCATAGCCGTCGGAAGCGGCATGAACCTCCCAATCTTCGCCGGAGTAAGATCCCTGACGACATTGACCAAAACAGCAAAGCCGAAAAACCCGTAACACATTTGGAGACAGTGAAGAGGCAGAGCAGAGAAGCCTTGCACCCCAAGAATCGCCATGTTTCTGTAAATCAAAGCGTAAGGAGCCTTGAATTCTCCGTTAGGGTTTCCAACGTCGAACGCTTTGTAGAACAAGAAGAAACTTAACGGCGTCACGATGCATCCAACAACCGTTCCGATCATTTGGCTAGCAAACATAGCCTTAGGTGAAGTCATCGTGTAATGAGCCGTCTTGAAATCTTGCATCAAAATACAAGAAACCGAAACAACTGATTTGATCAGTCCACAACCGGCGAGTCCGGCTACAACTCCGTTCTCTCTTCCCGTCACAGCCGCGATAACAAAAAGACCGATTTTACCATAGTTATAAGCCATGTTAATGTCGGTAAGTCCAGCTCCATAAGCGTTACAGAAGGCGAGAGAAGGCGCGAAAATGTAAGCTACAATAACGTAATACCATTTGAGCTGAGGAAATATCAGAGGAATCACGACGGTTGAGACCGCAGCGAATGTAAGATATCCGGCAACTGCGAACCACATCGGGATCTTATCTCTGAGGAAATTCTCATCTTCCTTGAGATCTTTCCGCTGTTTCTTGTGACCTACGTCATCTAGATCATTAGGTTTGTTCTTCAATCTTGCGTTGACATTGACAATGGTCACAAAGATGATCTTAATGAAAGTATAAAGACCGTCGCCGAGGATTAGAGCTACGGATAAGAAGACTTTGTAGCCGTATATGCTCTTCATGTTGTGTTCGTCGAGATTCTCAGGGAACCAAGAGCCTTTGAGTTTGTCAAGAAGAGGCCACATTAAGCCATAAGAGAGTATAGCTCCTAAAAGCAAAGAAAGGTTAACCAAATGTGAACAGATCATTCCTGCTCCTACAAATGTCATGCTGAAATCAAAGTAAAACCTGAAAGAAAAAGATTTTAATTAATTAATATATGATTCAAGAACTTGATTCAGTGGTTTTCCCCAAAAAAAAAAAACAAAACAAAGGACTTGATTCACTGAAAAATGTCTGATTTTTGCTTTTGGGTAGAGTTATGCTTACGTTTGTTTCCAAGCTTTCAAGCCAAAGGTTGGGAATTGAGCAAAGCCACAATCTTCAATACCAGAGAAAAACCACTGGAAGAAACCCCACAAGAAACTAAATGAGAAGTATTTCATGAAACCACGCACTTGTTTCCTGCAAATCGATTCCAATTAAAGATTAGGACACTTGAGTAACAATATCACTTATTGTAAAATAGGTTAATGGACTTACTTGGCTTGAGCATCTCCTTGTGTGTGGAAGCCATTGATGAGAACCGCAGTAGCTAAACCACTCGGATATGTTAATTTAAGGTCAACAATCATAACCTTTCGGAGAGGGATTAGAACAAAAAGACCGATGAAACAGACAACAAAGAGATAAGCTGTCATCCAACCAAGGCCAGGTTCTTTCACACTCTTTGGAGAGTTACCTTCCAAGTTCACGCCAGACAACACATATGTCTTATGGTTTAACCCCAAAAGATATGAAGCAAACCCACCTGAAAAAAAAAAGGAAAAAAAAAATACTCAAAATATTTTTAATCAAAATTTCACAACTTAAATTTTATATCATACACATCCCCAAAAGCAAAAGCAATCTCAACCCTTTTTTTGCTGTGACTCAACCAACCCAAAAGTTTTTCAAAAAGTTCATATATTTTAATATGATTGGAACTGTTTCACTTATCCTTTCACTGAATCTTTGCTTGTTTCCCAAGAAAACAAAGAAACTATTTAAAAGGAAATAAAAGCAATTTATGTTCTTTACCTCCAACGGCAATGCCGTAACAAGCAACAGCAGATGTCTGAATCATTGTGTTCTCTTGTCTTGTGAATGGCTTTGCAACAAATCCTGATTTCTTGAGAATCTTAGTCCAAGTCTGGACAAAGACAAAAGCCAGTAAAGCTGCAGAGCTGTTGAGATTTGGAACAATCCCTGTCGTGAGATTTAGCTTCTGAGCTATCACACTGAACACAACTCCGATCACGATGCTCACTAACACTCCTCTCACCGTTATCTGCTTCGTCCATGGTTCGATAGTCCTCCCAGACATCTCTTCCTCTGTTTCTGGTGTTTCTTCCTGCAGTGACAGTTGATTGTTGTCTTCTTCTTCTTCTCCTTCTCTCTTCATGATCTTTCGCTGCTCTATTTCCATGGAAACTGAATTTATCTTTGATACTTATAAATACCTGAATTTTTAGGAATATGAAACTTTGCTTTAACCTGAGCGTACAAAAAATACTCTTTTTTTGTTTGGTTTGGAAGAGAATATAAGGAAAGCTAAAGAACTCATTATCTCTACCCTCTTAAGTGCGCATGTCGGACACGCGCATTGTCCCACGTAGACGAATCCGTCAAAACACAAACGCCAAAGTTGTAAACGCAAATTCTGTGAACAAAAGTTGGGAGAGATTTGGTATACAAGTCAAGTGGCCAAGTAGATTGTCGTTAGCATCTTGTTCTAAAGGGACATTTAATGACATTTCACTTGTTTTGTAAGAATCTTTGAATTTTTTATTACAGCCAAATGAAAGTGTGTGGTTGAAGTGGATGCAATGATTTAAATGTCCTTTTTGATCAAGAGGGTTTGAAAACACAATTGTTTCCACAATCACATCGTCCATAATTAAATGTCTCGGACAGCATTACGTGTAGAAATTCCACTCTCCTTAAATTTGAGTTACTTTTCAAAGATAACCATTATAGCTAGTTTTGACTTTTGAGTAGAAACTTTCGACACTGGCCTAGGTTTATGTCCACGTAAAAAGATACAATGCTGCGACACTCTAAATAAATTAGTTTAATATAGGCATAAGACTCATAATCTGACAATCACAGGTTAAATTAGTTCTTTCTCCATTGTCAGTACTCGAATTCATAGGCTCTGATTGGTAAGGTTTCTAGAGTAAATCAACATGGTGCACCATATGTGGAGGAAAATATATTTTTGTAATCAAGGAATTTTTTTTTCATCGTAAACTTTTACTCTAGATAAAAGGAAAGTAAATACTTACGCCAAATTAATGGTTCTACTTCTACATAATTTACTCCAATTTATTTACGCTAAATATGACATACCAATCATGTCTATAATTCTGAAAATTCTCTAGTTTAAAAATATATAATTTTATACGAAATCAAAAAAAATTTTGGTGAGTATACGAAATCAAAATTTTGATATAAACCATATAAAGAAGAAAGTTAATGATTATCGACAAGTCGAATTCTTTACTAAAGATGAAAAATTTACACTTTTTAGAAAAAACTATTTTATATAAATAACATACATATGCCAATAACCTTAAAACATATTCGAAATTTGATATTTGTTTAAGATAATTATAAAATTTTGTGATCAGGACATGAATATCCAGAAACCCATAATTGCAGAATAATTGAAAAGTAAATGTATATAGATGCTATAATCGTGTATAGATGTGAAAGTGGTGAAAAGTAGTGAGATTCTAAATGAGTGTGGCTCAATGGACCATAAGACCGATACTTCCACATGTCACGACAAAGACCATGCACTTTCTTCTTCTCTTGTTTTTACGTTTCTCTTTCTACGCAATCCTCTTCGTCTTAATTATCGATTGATTCCAATTGTCAATGCCATACGGGGTTAAATTTAGCGAATTTTCTATTTAAAATCAATCGATAATGGGTTGATTACATTACTTTAGGCCTCACCTTATTTTTGATATAAAGTTCCTGACATATATCAATACTAAAAAACGATAAATCAGTCACAAGATAAAATTACTAATTAAAATCTAATAGTGGGTACAAAGCTGAAACCAAAACACTTTAAACTTTTCAACTAACATGTTGCTATCTAATCAGACATAAAATGCGTGTATTATATAGGGATTAGGCCTAGTAGGGATTAGATTCGCCCACTTATTATCTAAAACTGAGGAAAACAAAACAAAAAAAAACATTTCAAAAATATAAATAGAGTGGGGATATTGATAGGTGGATGGAGACGAAAGAAGAAGAAAATGAATACTACTCCTTGACACCATTCATTTAAGAAAGAATCTCATTCACTCTTAAAGTCACAACTTATCCTCCTATAGCCCTACATTGACCCCAAACTATATATGAAAATGACTTCTTTTTGACCCTTTGCTAAAACTCTATACATTTCATTTTTGTTTGAATTCCATCTAATTTCTGCGTTTGCGTCCAAACCGCTTTTACCAACAGCGTTTTATCAACCAGTACTACATTCTTTTTTTTTGAGAGAGTACTGTATTCTTATCAACGAGTACTATATTCTTTACTTTCATTGTCATGTTACCCTAAGTTTTGTATCTTGGTTTTACCTAAGTTTTGTTTTTGTTCGAAGGCTACCTTTATTTATTTTAGTAACTAGTTGGGGAAAAAAATGAGAGAAAAATTAATGAACATGTTCTTACTTACTTGCCCATGTTACCCTAAATTCATTTATCACTATAAATCCATATAGTGTGCGTAAAATATCAGTCACATGCGTCAGTGTAAAGTTTCGTAGTTAACAACTTTGCATTTATGGGTCCATTTGTATGTAGTCCGTGCTTGACACCTATAATAATTTTTTGTTATATATAAGGAGGACAAACTATATGGACCATTATATCTACTTGGTTTATTGTTTTAAAATCTCAATTTGCAGTGTCCAAAACAGATGATCACATTTTTAATCTCTATGAAAACCAAAATCATAAAACGAATGTCGAAATTCTGTAGTGTTCAATATAAGATACGAATCCTTTTTTTGTGTACATGTGTGTGTGTGGTTAAGTTTTAGTTAATTTTCGGGTTTAAAAGTACTTTCTTAAATTAAATAGAAAAATTCCAATTGAAAGTGAATATCGTCATAGTTTCAGTAATAGTTTTTGACATAGGTTTGGTTTCCTAACAAAATACATCATGAATCTGAAAATATTCATTGTGTTTTTTTTTTTTACATTTTAATTTTGGTTTAAGCATATAGCACATATTAAAAAACGAATAATCGGGTATAAAAGTTGGTCATGGTCTTGTTCTTTATCACTCTAAAAGAAATTTGATTGTTTGGTTTCCAATCCCCTTCGTCTAGTCGATTCAGGGGCTGAACGAAAAGACGTATTCGACATTTATTTGAACCATCGTAAAAGGCCGGCCCATTAAGGACAATCCTATAGAACTATTTAATAATTTTATATTAACACGTTAAAAGCAAATTCGCATTTGAAGAAGTGTGAGTTGAAAAGAGAACCCAAAACCAGCGGCTCAAGATCATGTGGGACCTTTATATAATATAAAAATCATGTCTAATCATTACAGCCAAAAAAAAAATATCTTCCAAGAAATAAACGAAAAAAAGTTAAACATTCATTTATATAATATATATATATATATATATATATTATCATGAAATTATTGAACTAAAAATGTATAAAATCATTACATTTGACTTTTTTTTTTGATAAATCCTATCGGCTATCCGGTCGGTCCCGGTAGGAACGCACCGAGGTGCTACATAGTAGACTAGTCCACCGTGTTAACGGTTAGGCCTTTACGGGCTTACCACTCTGCCTATCCCGAGTTTGGAATGCCTTCCGACTAAGTGCCAGAGGGTAGTCAGGCCGCCTACATTTTTGGCTACCAGGTAAACCAATTGGGCCAAGGTCCAACTGACAGACTTCCCAAACAAATGTGTTTTTGTTTCCAGGGAGAATCGAACTCAGGTTTGGGAGTTTCACCATTTCCCAAAGCTTCCTCTGCCACTAGACCACAGATGCTTGGGCACATTTGACTACTTACTTTCTATAACTACAAATTCTTGTTGGCAATTGAATCGAGCAAGCTTGTATTCAATCAGAATATAAATTATAGCTAGTATTAGCTTTTTAAAAGTTTAGTTTGGGATTTAGCTTTAGTTTCTTTAGTCCGGTAGTGATAATTCTCGTAAACCAAAGCGAACAGAAACGACAAAGGAAAAAGAGGAAGAAGACAAGTTGTGAGTAGAAGACAAACAAGCAAAGTCTGCACACAATTGTGCAACTCAAGATGAGAAACCACGTTCATAAAATAATGCTCGCTGTTGATATTTTATAGACCACCGATGCAAATCATGCAACCGTGAAGTGATGATGAAGCCACACACCTATTTCTGATTTTGACCAGAATTTATATACTAGTAGTTAAAAACAATTACTAGGACATTTTCGTCGAGACGTCCACGTGAGCACTGAGCAGCCAAACCGCGTGCCACCCCTAGAATTCAAACCAAACAGAAGTCACAAGTCGCCACCTTTCTCTCTATGTTTCCCTCTTAAAAAAAGGCCCATCCTTTCACAAGTTTTAGATCAAAGTATACACGAGAAACAGAGAGTTTTCTGAAGAACCCAAAAAAAAGAGAGAAATGTGTAGATCGCCGGATTTCGAGCGTTATGTTGAGAAAGAGAGCTTAAAGGTTAAGGCTTTCTTCGTCAGGTTCACTGGTTTACCAACACGAGAATTCTTACCGGATTCTCTCACTCTTCTCTATCCACCACGAATCAACGAAGCGGCTTTCGAGCTCGATGGGTCGAAGATCCGACCCGATTCTCCAGCGTTCGTGACGCTCTACAGAGTCGTGAAAGGAGGAGACGTGATTTACGGGTCTAGAGAACGGGTTCGGGTCTGGGAAGGGATCCGTTTCGAGGTGTACATGAGTGAGGAGAGGGTGATAAAAGGTATTTTCAGAAAAGAAGAAGTGGACAAGTGGAAACTTGAGTGCGAGTGCGAGATGGAGGAGGAAGGTGCGGCGGAGGTTGTTGTTGCGGCCGAGGGACACGTGGCGACGGCGACGATGGCGAGGAAACATAGACGGAGGAGAAAGCAGAGGGTTGGGTTTGAGTGTTTGGAGGAGATACCGGAGGAGAGAGAGGAAGGGAGAGAATCTGACGGCGGCGTGTGTTTTTGCACGTGTAGCGGCGGCGGTGAATCTGACGACGGAGAGGGAGAGTGGGAGGAGGTGGAATGGACGGCTGAGATGGAGTCTGAGACAGAGGGAATGGGATGGGCCGTTGATTTGGGGATTTGGGTTATGTGTTTGGGTGTGGGCTATTTGGTGTCTAAAGCCTCTACCAAAACCTTGACAAGTGGGAGAAGAAGAAGGACAACAACTTTCTTCTAATTTCTTGTGTAATCAATCAGTTTTAATTGTACAATAACGTTGGAACATAAATGTAAAAACCCATGATTTTGATTACAAGAGTCGATAGTTCCTTTTTGTTTGAAGATAGAGCAATGAGCTTTCCAGTTTAAATTGAATCACCTTAAGCATATTAAGCAAATCAGAAGGATTTTTCTTAAGAATCTGATGAATGAATAACACAATTATGTCAAATCAAGTTGCATTTACAAATTATATAATACACAAAAGAATCCGAAAGATGAGTTTTCTCCTTTCTCTCACTAGTAATTATGATACACCAAACAAAACAAAACAAAAATTGATCAAACGTGTGATAATAAATTCATAAGTATAAGCAAATATATGGGGTTGAGATCCCAGAGGAACTTTCTTCTTCTTTTTTATTTCTGTATTAGTTTCTGTTGTCTTCAACTATTAGTTTACATCAGAAGCAGACATCGGTTGTATGTTGTTTTCGTCGTCATCGTCTGAAACCTACACGGAACCCAACTGAAGAGATTGCTATGCTCTTTGCTTCACTGTCTCTAAGCTCTTGTCTGGTTCTTACTATTATAACCAAAAGAGACTTCACTCTTTCTCCTACAGGTTCTGTGCAGTTTAGTGTTTCCAGTGTCGCTTTCCCTTCTGCTTACACATGTTTGCGACCTGTAAATGCTTTCAATTTCTGTTGCAGCTGTACACAAACATAAACGAAACAATTGCTTGATTACATGAAACACAACAAGCGGATTATTGCGTTCTAACGAGTTGAAAATGTACTAAACTTACTTGGCTATATTTTGATTTCTCTATATCCAGTTCCTCCGTTAAGTCATCCAGCCTGAAAATTTTAGCAGTTAAAAAGCTTGCAGGAAGATGCACTTAGAAAGACTAGACTAAATCATAATCTAGAAAAAAAAGCTTTGCTGGAAGAAGAAGACTAACCTAGCACGGAGGTCAGAGATACTGCTAAGAAGTAACCTCTCCCTCTCAGAAGCCACGGGTTCAACCTGTTATCCAAAGTAATGGTTACATAGCTGCGCGCAATATCTTTGATGAAATTGTTGAGAACATATCTGATAAATCAACTTACATTTCCATTACTGTCTGAGCGAGGCAAAGGTGGTAACTTCCCAGATTGAGAACCTATAAGAAAGATGAAGGTACCGTTACTGAATAGTCTTCATCAATAATAACGTCACAACAGATTGAAGTATACTTGTCTATCCTACCTTCTGTTGCTTCCCCGGGTTGTATGCTATTCAGTAAATTCATAATAAGATCCTGCAGCGAAATAATTCAATTGCAGTAGTTAAGATCCTGCTAATTAGTTAATAAGAGATAAGTCTCATGTCTTGACGGATGTTCCTCACCTGTTGTATTGAGTTTTGCTGGAATAGGTGTTGAAGTTGAGGCACGATAAGTGAGGAAGAGGAAGACGTAGGATGGCTACTATGCTCCTTGATGGTCTGAGGCTGAGCTGTTGGCTGTAGGATAGAAAACAAGACTAAGGTTAAGAAACAGAACATCGAGTAAAATCAAAACTACAAATGAATGACTTGAAGGACACTTTGTGATAGCAAACTGACCATTTTGGGCTCAAGTATCCAGTTACCCACACTTGCAGATTTTCTCAGAGGGGTCGCCTGGAATTTGTGTATAAATTATCAGGTAATAATTCAGGTGAAGAATCAGTCTACAGTAATAAGCAGAGACAAGAAACCAACCTGTGGAGATCGACGAGGGACAATACTTAATGGAACATCCTAGAGTAAATTGTATGGTTAGTTACCGTCAAAGAAATAGGAAAACAAATAGTAGTAAATTATATACCAACCTTCGCAAGATCTACATTTCCTGATGTTACTGAAAATCGTCCTTTCTGAACCAGATTAGCCTTTGACTTATCATCCAGAGAATCACGGAATCCTATTCGAAATGGACAAAACACTCTTTAACTCAACTGCAAGAGAAGCAATAAAACCACTAAGCTGGACGAAGACTGCCAATGTCACTTGCTCACCTCCTGAGTATTTAATGGGAGCTGACAAACTGTTTGAAGAAGCCCGGGTTGGAAGATTCAAAGGACCACTAAAGCTGGGTGCTCTTCGGACTGTTGATGCTGTCTGCTGTTCACTCTCGGATCTAGCAGATAGAAACATAACAAGTTGGATTGTTTGAAAGTTTCTATATATTAGACAAGCAGATCTGAAGTGTAGTCTCAAACATCAATTAGTAAATGTCAAACCTTTCAAAGATATGCCCTTTTTCTGAAGCCGAGTGGCATAATACGGTCTTGCTTGTAAGTGGTCCACTCTGGCTTTGGCGTCTTACTGGCTTAACCTTGGCCTCGGGAATGTCATGCTCTGAATTTGGTGACATTCGTTCTAAAGAAGAAGCAGTTGTAATGAAAGTGAATTTCTCTTCGCAGGTTGGTTCTTCCACCTCAGTATTGGAAACCTTTTCTTTTTCGTTCATGGTTTCATATAGTTGCAGACTATCAAATACTTGCACTCTGTCATTCACCTGCAGGGGTTTTCTAAGATATGTTCAGACCACCGGACTTGGATACCGCGGAAGTGAAATTTTATATATGCCTTTTTCTGAATTTTATCTACAGATTACTCGCCTTATTAAACTGTGCACATAATATTTCATCATCTTCCTTACTCTCTTCTAGATCATCATCATCAATTAACTAGTACACAAACAAACAATATAAGAACAGGTATTAAGTGATGAAACCAATGAACAGAAATTAAGGATAGTGCAATCATAGATAACTAGCGAGAAGTAAATTACCAAAGATGCTTGTGTTTTCAAGTCTCTGACGTCAAAATTCCAAGCGCTCACTCCTCTTTGGTATTCGCTCTGACATTAAATATATTGTTTTATGCCCACTCTGCAAATTCGACTCTTAAAGTATTTAGGTAATGTTGACAAACCAAGGGGTGTGTCACCTGTGATATAGCTTCCTCGTCAGCAGTGGCCATTCTCTTTAATGCAAGCTGTTGAGCATCCTTATCCTGTCATGTAACAACCCGATCAAAAACTAAGAACATGATCACTTCAACAAAAAGGCTGAAACACAAAAAGAACATGGCTAACCTGAAGAGATTTTACTCGTGTCCAAAGAGGTGGTAAATCGGAAAATAATTTTTTCACATAAAACTCTGGAGGCTTCGTGTGTTTGAAACAGGAGTGCTTCAGCAGTTTTTCAGCAGTTGGCCTTTTTGTTTGATCTTTCACCAAACACATTGCAACCATTTCTTTAAAGGACTGGGCACAACTGAAAGTCCTCTAGTTAGTTTAGTAAAAATTTATTGCAAATGAAAAAACAGAAATCCAACAAAACTAGAACAACATAAGGAATACACCTAGAAAGAACACGAGTACCTTCGAAAATTTCTTATCACGATCATAATCAAGACCAGGAGGTGCGTTTTGAATAGTCATTAGGAGCACCTGTAACCAGGGAATCAGAACCGTTTTAATAGATGTAAATATTGACATAAGCCGGAAAAGAGATATTAAGCACCTTCATGGGGGGATATTTTGAGAAAGGTGCATGACCATGGGCCAGTTCAAGAGCTGTTATACCAAATGACCAGATATCAGCCCTGTTAAGAAATGACAGAAGAAGAACCAACCAATAAGCTATTGTTGCATTTCTTTGTTCCACAGTATATACAGTAATTGATATGATCACCAAGCCAATATGTTTACATTCGGATTAGAGGTAGAGTAGTTTGACAAGTTGTCTTAACATGCATACATACCAAAGTGAGCTACTTTCTATACTAGACAAGGAAACAAGCAGAAAATATAAATATTTTATCTAGCATTCGAGCTTAATGTATAAACTCACTTGGAATTGTATCCTTCTCCCGGCTGCAAGACTTCCGGTGCCATCCTACAAACAGAGAAAGCGTTTAAATGTTAAACATAGAATATAAGAGTGATGGTAAAGTACCAAAAGAAAGAAGTACAATAACCGACCAGCAAGGAGTACCAACAAATGTGTTTCTTGCACGTCGCCTATCACCATTGTCAAACAAGCAAGCAGAGACGCCAAAATCGCCAAGCTTAATCTCACCACTGTCATCAAGAAGTATGTTTCCAGCCTAGGTTGAAAGAAACAATAAAATCTGAATACATTATATGGATGGCAAAATATAAAGTCCAGTGAGCTGAAAAAAGTTTCACTTTTTTACCAACCTTAACATCCCGATGGATATGGCCTTGTTTATGAAGATAATCAAGAGCTTTAAGAGTTTCTTTAAGTACACAACATATAGCCGACTCTTCAAATCCGTCTGAATATGCAGTCTTCATAAGATGCAAACATGAACCTTGCGCCATGAATGGCATAACAACCCAAAGACTGTGGTCGACAGAAAATGAACAAAACGACTTTATAACGTTGGGATGGTCTATCAAACTCATAGTCTGAGATTCCCTCCTAATATCATCCTATAAACCAAAACAAATAATACATTAATTCACAGAACAAGAGATCTACAACAAATGGAAACCATTCTTATGGAGCAGAACAACTAGTCTTAGTCCTCTCCAATTACTTTGCCATGATTTTGAATTTTTTCACTCTAAATAATCAGATTCCAAACACAAATCTACACCTAAACACATAGAGAATCGTGGACATATAAAACGAGCTCAAGCCTCTTCTAATTCATAAGCAATAAGATCAAGGAGAACGAACCAGATTGCTATTGCAGCGATCGAGATCCAAACACTTGATGGCGACGACTTCATTAGTCGGGAGATAGATCGCTCGATAGACAACAGCGCTAGCTCCATGGCCTATCTCTTCCAAAAGCTTATAGTCTTTAGGATTCAAAGAGAAACCTCTCTGCTGCTTACCACTACCACCACCACGGAAAACCCCACCACCACCACTACTACTTCCTCCTCCCACCATCTTCTTCCGTCGCTTTAAAACCGCCCTGAATACCACCAAATCAAAAACCAGTAATTTCGTCTTCAGATACAACAAATCAAATGAATTTAACAGAAGAAGAAACAAAATCTGGAGCTGAGAGAGAGAGACTAGTAAGTTTACTCGAGAACAAGTCGAAACCCCATTGAAATTGGATACTAATTTTTTAATTTTTGTATAAAAATAATAATTTCAGCTCTATTTTCACTTTCGCTGCTATATTTTTCTGATCAGTTGACCTCCACGACAAACGCGATTGAGAGCGATTGAAAGAGAAAAGAACTGTTTTTGCTGACGTGGTAAATCGGTAAGCTTCTAAGATTATTACACGTGTCTTTAGTAATGGCTAGGAATGGCCTTGACCCCATCTACCTCTTTGGTTAAGTTCACAAGTGACTTGACAAAGATAAATATTCTGCTAACTTTTTATAAAAAGTTAAAAAAATAAATAAATTAAGAATCATTCTAAACTTTTTATAAAAAGTTTAATATGATATGTTACAGCTATAGATTATAGAAATCTAGGATAAAACATTTAGAACAATTAATAGTCCAAAAATCAAATAAAAGTCTTCAAAGTAATAATTTGTTCATTTCTACATTTTTAATTGCTTCTTCTACATACTACTAGTCGGAGCTAGGAAATGGTCTCAAGAGTTTCGTCTTGAAACAGAAGTCCAAACCTATGGACGCAAACGCAAATATCAAGACGCTCTGAGACACCAAAATGGCGCCGTCTATGCCATGTGAAAACAAGCTTTCCCAGCTCAGCTCCAATGGCGGTCCTCTGCTCAACATACCAAGTCCTATACCACATTAAATATCAGATTTAAAAAAAGACAGATCCAAAATAATACAGGTCAGAGATTAATAATCAACTCATCAATTATTTAGAATAAATCAAATCGTTGATTAGTACTATTATATTACTGGCAAATTATAATTTAAAAACAACCAAAGGGCGGGACAACGATGGGATTTTTCCAGCTCATACTTCCACACAATATATAACAAGACAAAGAAAGTCTTTTTCTTTTACCATTTCTCTTAAAGCTTATTCAATCACAAAACGCAATTGCTTTGAACAATTCAAAGAAGTTAGATTGAAACAGTAATCAAATGTGTTGTTACCTTTAACAAACCCAAAAGCTGCAACTGCTCCGGATTTGAGATGACTATCATCCAAGTCTCTTCTGACTGCATACCTGAATGTGACTCCAAACAATGCACAGCTTGCAAACGCTATTCCTAGGGGAAGAACAAGCTGCTCGATGCTCGAGACTTGAGAAAGAGCAAATGGGAGTTCCGCAATGGTCCCAACCGCAGCTGCGATCACTGCCGCTTTCGCTGATTCTAACCTCTCCTTGTCTTTGTCGATCGAATAACCCTTTTCTGAACTTCCAATTGCTTCGGTATCTGCTAAGGACAAAGCGCGTTCTGCTTCCTCAACCATTGATCTTGCTGCGACAATCTCCTGCTGGCATTCTGCGATCTTGAATCAGATATTGAATTAGATTAACATGTTCTGTCACAGCTTCCTTTCAAGGAATTTGTTCGTAGATAAACAAGAACTTCCACTGTCTACAATAACAAACTAGAGACTTTGTTCCGAAACACGAGAAAGCGAAAAAATGAAAACTCGAAATGCTACCAAATTCATGGTTTAGTAACCTTATCTAATGAAAGTATATTCACACAAACTAAGAGAAACCCTATTTCCAGGTTTCAAGCACAAAAGCAACACCATTGATAATGATTGATACTACTTGAACTTATCCTAAGCATAAAATGCACAAATTCACTACTCCATTGTAATATAAACCAGTCATTCTCAATGTTACCCTAATTCATACTCTATAGAACCTCCCAAAATCTCAAATTCCAAAGCGCAAAAGAATCAAATGTTCCATTATTACATATCTACAACATTTCCAGAACAAGCTCTCACCTCTGCGGCTCTTGATTCAAGCTGATTAACATAATCCTGTAACAATTTCGCCTCACTTTCTTGTCTCTCTATCTCTTCGAGCTCTCTCTTCGCTATCTCCACTCTCAACGACGCTTTTTCCAGACCATCAAGCAAATTCTTGTTCTCTTCTCTGCTAAATAGCTCCTCCACTTGATTTCCCACGATACCGGACAGCGACTTCTTTAAATCTCCGCCGTCACTCGAATTTGCTACATTCTCTTCCGACGAACTTCTAATTTTCCAGTTTCGAGTTCTACGATACGGAGAATTCGAGGCGGTCACTTGTTTGGGATTCAAAAGATAAATTTCAGGTAAAGCCACTGAATTTGGTTTCCATGGAAGCGATTGCAGAGATAAACATTGCATGTTGAGAAAGAAGAAGAAAATCTTCAAGTTCTATCTGGTTTGATCCGTTGCGAAGAGTGGCCACTAAAACGATATGAGAGAAAACGGCAGGCTTTTTAAAAAGCAACGACAATACACTTTAGCCTTTAGGTCCCGAAATCCACGAAACGACATGCATTCTAATGATTCTAAACGGCATGCATTTCAATTCTCAAAATAAACCAAGACTTTTTCTTTTTTTTTAGTAATACAGAACAGAACTAACACTGTTAATGCGGCTTTTGATTTTCTTCGGATAATGCGAATCTTAACAGAGCAAGACTCAAACTCAAAAGTCAAAACTAACAGGTCCTAAAAGACATGAACCATAAGCTTTTGACGATAATCATGGATACGTACAATGCACTCTAGTCACCGTTTTATTCCGACGCTAAGCTTTAAAAGCGTTGACCTCATCAACCACGGCCTTCTTGTACAAAGATACATCAGTTGACCCGAGCACCACGTGATACCCACGTGCCCTGAGATCACCGGTTTTGTCCTGAGCTCTGGCCATCCCAGCCAAGTAAGCTCCGCCATTCGCGGGATCAGATGCTAAAACCGCCGTCTCAGCCACCCTCATGACGGACTTCAACTTCGGGTTTCCTGGATCGTTAAGTATCCCCAAACTAGCACTCAGATCTCTCGGCCCCATCATCACACAATCCATCCCATCAACGGCTACTATCTCCTTCACATTCTTTACACCTTCCTCTGATTCTATCTGCAAAACTCAAGAATATACCAATTTCATTAAAAATTTAACTTCCATTTTTTAAAAACAATTACGCATTTTAGATTTCAATTTAACAATTTTGCCCAATAAATTGAAAATCAGAGGGATTTGAGGATCGAACCTGACACATGATGAAGAGCTTATCAGCGTAATTACCCAAATACCCGTCGTCAAATCCAAAGTTGGAGTCTCTCACAACGGAGTAAGCACAACCGCGAACACCGTCGGGACGATACCGGCAAAACGAGACGGCTTCGGAGGCAGATCTTCCGGTTTCGACCATTGGGAACATAATGCCGTCGGGTCCGAGATCTAACGCTTTCTTAGCCCAAGCCTGGCTAATGTCGGGTACACGAAGGACGGTGGAGCAACCAGCGGCCTCGATAGCTCGAATGCAGTGAAGCGCTTCACGAATCCCGCCGGCGCCATGCTCCATATCGACGATGATGAAGTCGAATCCAGCTCGGGCAGCGATCTCCGCGAGCTCCGGTGAGAAAGAGAGAAGAAAGTGACCGAGCAGCTTTTCTCCATCTTGAAGACGTGATTTCAGTGATTTTTTGGAAGCCATTGTGACTGAGAGTGGAGGAGGAATGGAGGTTGATAAAGAAGGAGATGAGGCGTTTTAGAGAAGAAGAAGATTAATTCCTTTCATTAAATATTGTACATGCGATTTTATTCCTTTTCTCTACATTATTTTCTTTCTAATTAATTTGAGAATTTATGACAAAAAAAATAAAAATTGAGAATTTATTCATTGAATTTAATTGGGTTGGTAAAATTATATTCCAATTTTTAATGATATGTGTTCTAAAAAGCGGTCTAGGCGGTCGCCTAGGCCCCGACTAGGCGCTAGGCTCTCATGCGACGCCTAGATAACCGTCTTGACCGCTTAAAATTACATAGAACTTGTTTAATGTATTTTTTCAATTTCAATTAGAGTTTTATTTATATATATAGTTATAAATATTCATATATTGTTTAATATAAATATAAATAAATGTTTTATTTAGTTTTTGTTTATAATTTCATAATTTTTAGTTTTATATAAATATTTTATATAACTTTTATATATAATATCATATTTATAATGTTTTATGTTATAAACGTCTAAACCGCCTAAAAATCACCTAGGCTCCGATTAGGCGTTCTAGGCGCTAGGCACTGGGTCACCGCCCGCTTAGCGCCTAGCGCTTTCTTGAACACTGGTTTATAGTATCTAAATATATTTTTCTTAATAAAATAAACATTTCTAATTCAAACTAGACGTTTGAATTTTGGGAAAATTAGACCCAGTACTACTTTTTCAGAAAGTTTAGGCCCAGTACCACTTTCGCAGCCCACTTATTATGCATACCACATTCGTCATCTGAAAAGACGATTCAATCCTCCAACTTTCGGAGACAAGACCCTGCGGTTGATGGGACTTTCTGAGACAAGACCCTGGCGCATTGGTAACCGTTTTCGTCCCCTGGCTGATAAAACAAAGTTATCCCCGAGTAAATCCAGATCTTCGTCTTCGGCTCTCTGGCAGAATAAAATAAAGATCAAGTTGTTCCCGAGTTAATCCAGATATCTGGCTGGTAAAACCACATCATCTGGCGATGAATAATTAAGAGATGTTGTCTCCGAGTAAATCTAGATCTATGCAGGCTGGTAAAACCATATCATCTGGGATTCATGATAATCGGGGACAAGATCTAGACGCAACAGAGAATTTTCAATCGGGGACAAGATCTGGAGATATCCATTTAATGCAGCCGCTCCCCGTTTTCCAACCGGCGTCTTACTGTAGTTCCTTCCCCTGACACATTCCTGACGCAGGCAGAAGGGTAAAATCGTCCAACCTCTATCACACAAACACCAAAAGTGGTATGGATGCTAAATTGATTTGCAATATGGTACATTTGCTAGAATTTTCTAAAATTATGGCACATTTGGCAAAATTACCTTTCAATTTTGATTAAAACAAACAATTGAGTTAAAAGATATAAAATATTTATTTATTCCGATAGTATTTTTGGATTTCTCACTCGCTTCCAAACAAAACAAATGCACTTTTTACATTAGTCTGAATCTGACATGTGCATGTGACAATGTGAGTGACGATTTAACATATACGAAAACAAGAACAAATGTGAGTGAGACAGCAACTCTTTGGCAACTGTTAACTCATGTATAGAGAACAAAATGTATGAAGGCCGTTTTATTTTAGGGAAAGTAATCAGTATGATCAACAAATTTAATATGACCACACACTAAATCTCCAAACTAAGCTCGAGATTTACAAGAGAAGAGAGTTCAGCTAAACCAAATCTCCAACTTCTTTTTTTGGGCAAAACCAAATCTCCAACTTAAGCTCGAGATTTACAATTATTGGTTTCTAATTATTTCAACTCTATGTAAAGACTCGTCTAATAAGACTTCAGATATGTGTCGACATCGAGAGTTTATCTCTACCGTACGTACATTGTCTTCGGTTTGTAAGACCACAAGCGAATCAACATATATAATCATGTTTACTTTGACGATCAACAAAACACCAATGTAAAAGTTCCATTTTATTCTTCATTAACATTTTTGAGTGAATAAATGTAAAATTTTCAAATTTTCCTAGTACTGTATGTTTCTTGATCACAAAATGTAAAACCTCCACTTTTTTTCTGATTTACTTACAGAAATGTATATTCCTAGTTAATATTTTGAAGTAACTAAATGTAAAATTTCTAAATTTTCCTAGTACTGTATGTTTCTTGATGACAAAATGTAAAACTTCCTCTTTTTTCCGATTTACTTATAGAAGTGTATGTATAAATAAAATTTGCACCCAAGATTAAGAAGAAGGAGACACGAGAAAAAAGTTACAAATTTTATTTTTTTGGTGCAGTTGAAGAAACAATATGGATATTGCTCTCATCATAATAATCGTAGCCACCGTCCTTGTGTTCGCCATCCTCATATCGTTTGCTCTATGGTGTTGTTTTGGTCATCATTCTCCGGTTGATCCTAGGTGTTCTTAACTATTTCTATTATCAACTATTCTTTTTTTCTCAACTATTTAATTATGAAAATTAGTATTCTGTTGAATAGCAGATCGATGATGTTGCGATGCTACTATATTTATCTTATTTAGCAATTAAGTTTCTTTTTGTTTAATCATACTGTAACTCTTTATTTAATTGATATTTTAATTATTTTTTCCTATATTGTGTTACACATTCATGATTATTAGTATTACATGTTTATTGTGAAGGCTATTTGGGAAAATAATCACGATCAAGTATTAACTGAAGAAATTTTTGTAAGAGTTCCAAATCTACATTACTTCAAACCTAAACGAAGAATTACTCTGGTTTTTGCTTCTTCTATTTGTTAAACGGTACTCTTCGGTGTCAAGTGAATCAACGTAGTCATAAAGCGTCTCGATTCGTGGTTGTGCTTTGAAATCTCCGACCTTTTCTTTCTCCATTCGGGAATCGTACCAAACCCTACACGAAACAGAATTAGCCAAATTCCCTTGTACAAAGTTACATGATATACGTCGTTTGAGATTCAAATGGTCGGCCCAATAAGTGACGCTGGACTTGGGCTTTCTCGAAGAGAGATGACGTGTTATTATTAGTAAATCTACAATGAATCACTAAATTTGTTGGTGTTAATGTAAGTTAGAGACAAGCTGACACAAATAATTCAGACCTAGGTGTATGTGACCAAGGAGAACTTAACTGTGTGAAGGTTTAGTTAATATCGACGGACATGAAAACGACTGCAAATGATCCGGTTCTATATGACTTGACCATCCATCTTTGAACTTTAATTTCTGTTTTTATTAATTTTGTTTTCGTTCTGGCAATGCATTGAAGCTTATAATTCATATTTTAGGATCAGTATTTGAATGTTTGGTGCGTTCACAATGATTTATACGATCACAACCATATGTGTACATATCACTGGCAATATAAAAAAACGTTAGAGGGTCACACCTTTCCCAACGCCTTCCAAGACCTATGCGTAGGTCGAATCAAATCTTCTTCTTTTTTTATGTCAACGGTAGCATCAAAATTTTATCAAATTCACTGTGTACTTGATCAATCTTATCGAATGTTTTATTGAGTTGTATGTATGAATTTAATAGTATTAATCTAAACCTACTAATACGCACTTAGTAGTATAAATTTGCTAACATATATAAAATTATAAACTTATAAAATCATAATAGATACAAACATAATAATATTGAAAATGTAAAGAACTATTCTTCCGTGTATAATACATGCAGAACATCTTAGTTTTACGGTTACACTTCATATTCATTTTTTTATAATATATTCTACTATACTTGATCAGCATGGTAATGTCGCCCTCCCAATCTAACTTGTTTTCCCTTTTTCTCACCAAACCATGTATATGTTAAGATGAAAAGTTGAATAATTAGGTAAGAGTCTTCGACTTATATTAAGTTCAAAATATTTTTCCATCATATCAATTCTTTTAGTTACCAAATAATGTCCCCTAGCTTAGCTATTATTATTTCATGAATGTTGAGATCTATTATTCTTCTAAAAAGAATATATTCTAACACTGATTATTTTTCCTTATGTAGTACGTACATTACATGTCATGGTCCATCCTATCAGATCATCTTATAAATTATTAGAGAATTGCCGAACAACTTGAAATCTACTTTCGAAATATACGTACGTCGACATATGATTGTTAAAAATATAAATGTAACTGACATGATTCACATGAATACAATTCTCACGAAGAAAAATATATGACAGAAATTTAAACTGTGCTTAGATTGCATTACTCGTAATAAGATCCTATCTCAACAATGTTCAAGTGATGCTCGAAAACATATTTTAAAATTGGCCAAATGTTAACTTTGAATTAGTGGCATTGAATATTCAAAATTAATATGACTTTTATAGAGAAGATCTGATTACAAGAAAAAAAGATACAGAAAATATCTAAGAGAAAACTAAAAGTGTTCGAGAAAGATTTTGATAAAGATTCAACTAATGTTTATGGACGTGGTTTTACTATTCGAAGTTGTTGAGCCAATCTGAGATAAAACTTTATTTGACATCTATTTAATTTTATTTTTAAAATTTTCCATTCTCCACTAAAAACTTATCCGTAAGATCACATCCATACTTGAATACTTCAACACAAACACACCGAATTTAAAAGTTAGTGTAGAAGTATGTTCTTAAGGTCGAGTCATTGTCAATTTCAGACAAAATTATTTAACGTTGGTCGGATTCTTATTCTTTTTATAGTGGCCACCATAACACATCACCTAAGTCCTTTGACCTCAATGTCTATGTAGTTCAAATGAAATTATCGATTTCAAACACGAATAACATTTTAATAATTTTATTTTCTTGTAAAATATGAAATGCTTCACGGGTAAAGCCAATGCCACAAAACATCGGTAACTAAGAGTTTTTGAGATTATCAAATTTGTTCTTGTATAATTGCCGTTTATTAGATAATGATCTTGTGGTTATCATTGGTCTACTTAAGCCAAGTTTGGGGAGGATTGTGTCTAAATTGTGAAGTGTACGTATTAGAAGATATCTGAATTTCTTAGAACTAACAGTTTATAAAACATTACTTTCCTGTTTTGATAGTTGAGAGAAATATTCTCGACTCTAGTCTTTTTTGTCTTACAGTGAAATTCCAAATTTATCAATGTTTTTAATTAACATAACTTTATAGCCAGACTAGAAATGTTTCTATAGCCTGTGAAATACATATATATTCAACCCCATTTCATTTTCGTATAAACAAATTAAATTTTCAATAACAATATGTAATATTTGTACTGGGTTTCAATGTAATTAAGTAGATATGAAGAGATTATTGTACAAGTAGTATTTTTAGAAGAATAAAAAAAATCAAAGAGCAAAGGGTCAAGATCTAGATTGATGAAGCTGAAACCATAGTGGGATGTATAATTTCAAACACACAGATTTCAAGGAGAATGTTTTCTGTGGGTCCCACCTACTTTAATCTTTAGACTTGTGACTTGTCTCTCGTACTATTCCCTCCGTTCCTTGAAGTTTGATGTTCTAGTGTTTTGAATTTGTTCCACAAAGATTAATTTTGTAGATTTTTTTTTATTTTGAATCAATCGATTTTAATAAATCGTAGATTTCAAGATGTAATGATTAACTATTTCAGATTACTATTGGTTCATAGTTTATTAAAAAATATTTAATGAAAGTAAATAATTAAACAATAATTGTTTCTTAAAAAATGTGAAATCTTTAGAAAATCAATCTTCTAGGAAGTATTATTATTCTTCACACATCGAAAGCCAAAACACACTTCATTTCATTTCAAATTGTTTTCCGAACCAAAATTATATATATCCATGAGATGAACATTCTCCAAACTCACCCATGCCATATATAATAAGTACTGTATACAATAAAAATGCATCAATTTAATTAGGTACATTTCATTGTTATTGTAAACGAACACAATCAATTGTTTTTGGCCAGGAACGAATCCAATAATTTAAATTTAGATGGAGAAATCAAATGGAATATATATACAGTTTTATTTATTAATTGGGATGGTAGGGCTAAACCATCTTTAGCAATAAAGAATAAGTGTATTTAGTGAGGATCATGTGAAAGTCATCAGAGCCTACCTGTCTCTTTTAAAATTTTAATTTTTCTTAAATATTTATTAATATGTACCTGTTCTCTAACAAAATGACATCCATTTATTGTTTTACCAAAAAAGAAAAAACATACTATGGTGTTGAATATAATTTAGTTACACACTATTTATACAACATATTTCGCATTAATTTTTCCAATAATGTAAAATATTGGGGAAAGACATGAACAATAGAAGGAACATCAAAAGACCAACCAATGTATCATTTATAATCTGTGTTAGAGATAACAAAATTCAAAACAAATTAAAGTCATTCAATATGCATGCACCCCCGATAGTATCCTTAAATCCAAGTTAACAAAAAAAAAAAAAAAAAAAAAAAAAAAAACCCCACCAATAAGAAAATTCAAAGCGAAATTAAGAACATAATGATTAATTAAATAAATAGCAATAATTAACCATTAATTGGACTATCTTCATCAACCAAACCGAGAAATTAGCACCATGATCCTCCACTCAACATCCCAGTCCAATACCCACCAGACGTAGCAGCTGCATCACTACCACTTCCTCGCTTCTGATGTTCATTAATGTCGACATTAATTGTTGCTGATGAAGAAGAAACCGGCAATTTCAAATCCTCAAAAGGAAACAAGTGCCTTCCATTCACATCATCACCGCCTTCGCCACCTTCTTCACCTCCTTGAAACCCTCCATGAAACCCATTATTCTGATGATGATCTAATGAAAACCCTAGAAGTGTGGTGTTTGTGTTGCAAGGCTTGTAATGATCTTGCATTGAAAACCCTCCTGATGCTGGGTCTTGATTATGAACTGGAAATCCCATAAAGGAAGAATTTGATGAATTCCCGTTATTACTATTGTTTCTTATGAGATCCAGAGAAGAAGTAGCCATGGCAGAACATGAAGAAACAAGCAATGGATTGTTATTGTTGTTGCTCTTGTTAGTGTTGTTGCTGTTGTTGCCAATGTTATGGATGAGGTCAGTGAAGTTGGTCCTGATCATCCCATGTGGTGAAAAACCTAAATTGAGATCTTGTTGGGTCGTCTCGAGGAATTTAGGGTTTTGACCCGTCAAACCTTGTTGAGACATGCTCATGAGGTGATGGTGATGATCAGAGAGATGTTTCTTTGTAGCTGGTTGTGCTGAATCCGAGTGATTGTTGTTACTAATATCAGAAGAAGAAGAGTGAGATCTCTTGTTCTTTCTTGAGCCACCGCCAACAGGAATGTTCCTAAGCGAACCGCCTTCGGTCCAATACCTTCTACAACCTTTGCAGAAGTATCTTGGTTGCGTCAAACTATAATTGTTGTAGTAACAAAACTTTGTATTGGTTGAGTTACATCTCGGACAGTTTACAGCTTGGTCCTTTTCTGGCCTTGCCTTCCTCTCTCCACCCGCCGTAGATGGCTGCTGTGGTTGAAGCGGTTGCGGTTGCGGCTTTGGGCGTGTGTTTGTTACTATTTCTTCCAAGGGTTTCACTACAATCTCCTGATCATCAAAATCAAAAATACACCTCTTCCAACCATTAGCACAAAAACCTTTGCTCATAGACAAGTATATATATATAGGTAAAGACATAATTAACATATATGTACTGATTTGATTTATGAGAACATTTTAACAAAAAAAAAAAACATATGTACTGTCGATCAAAAAGTAATGGGTTTTCATCAAGACAAAAAAGTTTTGGATATTTGAGAAAAGCTTTAACTAAAAACATAAAAGAAAAAGCAAAGGGTAAAGTGAAAAAAAACATACATTTAATTAAAGGAGAATTAGATCCAAAAACTGTTGAAGAGAATTGAGTAACATCAAAACGAAGAGGATCCAAAAACATTAAACTCCAAGTTAAGACCAAGTATTGAGCCCAAGATGAATCAAATGATCTAATCTACATCAACACATACATATATTCAGGATATATAAATATGTAAATGTTTGTGTATAGTACCTGTGGCCATTGAGCCGTATCCATAGATGAACTTTCTCAGATCAGCCGAAACAAAACCTGATAATTCCTTTTCTTAATTAACTTCTCTATTTGGAAGAAAAAAGAGGGGTATTTTTTTGTTGTTGGATGAAGAGAAAGGGAATTTTGATGGCTGAGAAATCTTTTTTGAATGAGGAACTTCTTTGTATGCTTTGTCTCTGATCACATTTGCTTTATGGTAGAGAGAGAAAGAGAGAAAGAACAAATTGTATAATATAAGAGTATTAAAACATTCCGAGTGGGAATCTTTGTCGTACTTTAATAAACAAATACTTTAATACTCGTCCAATATAAATATAAGCATGTATGTATGGGCTTATATTTTACATATATACCACATCTATATGTATGACGGAAAAAAAAAAAAATTGCCATGGAACTCTCTACATTATTTAGAACTTAATGGAAGGATTACTTAGGTGGAATTCATAGGATTATATATGTAGCTGGACGCTGGTATGTTTATTTTAATTAAACAAATATGGTTTTTACTAGCTTAACTACAATATATGTATTATGTTTGAATCGAGTAATTGTCATTGGAAAATTATAGTTGAAATATATATATATGGATGTATATCAGATGATAACGCTGCATTTAAAAATCAATGCATTACCAAAAATCAAGTGGTTTATGAGATAAACATGACTAATTTTAAATTCTCATATTTTCGATTGTAATGATAAAAAAAGTTGTTAAAGGAAATCCTCACAATTTCGTCGCTAAACCTGTAAGAAAATATGATTTTTAAAAAAATAAAATCCTTTCTATATTCTAATATCGTAAGTTAACCAAAATTAAAATTCAGTTCGTGTTTTTGACCACTGAATTTTAATTCTAGCATATATAACATGATAGTAAGGATGTGAAAAAACATAAATTGTATCAACGCGTTAACTCCTAAAACAAGTTACATTTGTAAATCCTATTCGACAAGCAAAATATGGTTATGCTTTTGGAAATATTTTGACTTGTGTGTTATCTGATACAACATTAGCTTTCAGTTTCTAATTGTTTATTATATTTCGCTTTGTTGTTTTTCAGTTCAAGGAAACTTTCAAATTTGAAAATTCTGAGTCGGACTGAATTTTTGGTAACAAGTTAGGTATTTGATATTAAAGTCTTAACGTCCACAAGGATTTTCAATTGTGTTTAAATTTAAACTATACAGTATATAGTACATCAAAATTTCCTAGTTTGATTTCAATGCCTGACCTTAAAAGTAGATTGTTCTCTTCTTCTGTTTCAAAAGTCGACTGTTCTTTTCATAGTGAAATAACGGAAAGTGGGCTCTTTAACCAAATATTTCTTTATTATGGTTTTTAGAAAGTTATCAGGCAAAAATTTTGCGATAGTTTGGAGCAAAAAATATAACTAATATGTAGATATATAAGTATTTAGATTTTTTTTAATTCAATATATTGAAATTAAACTGTTTGATTATGTAATTAACCATTCATTGAGACAATTAGCCCTATATAAAAATCTACTTATTACATCTACCATTATATAGAATACTACTTTACAAGTATAACGCATCAACACTACTTGTATATGCTACATCATCAAATAATTGAAATGTAAAATCAATCAATACTTTACCTTTTCGAAGACAAATGCATAGTGATAGTTATGTCTTTTTTAAACTATCTTGTTAAAAGATTATCTTTAGAAATAATTATCCAATGACACAAAATTTTATCAGTTGTCCAAAAGCTATATAAAGTATAACTTTTTAAAATTATATTAGTACGGAGGAAATCAAATTCAAAGACCTAATAAGTTGACCACCCATTGACAGAATTGACCTCTTATATTCTCTCTTGTTTTGGTCGACCTATTATATTCTTAAATCAAATAACAACAAAATGATACATTTCATCTATGTTTAACATGTTTTTCTTGGGACATAGTCACACGTACAACGGTACAAGTATATAATGTGCAAATGTTAAGAAGAGAGGCCAAAGACGCCCTTAAAGGTCCACATGCACCAGATTAAAAAGCTCATCTGTCATTTCATAAAACTTTATCCGTATTTCACGTGTGACTTATTCCAATTAGGTTATGATTACCTGTATCGCACGAATTTAATTCTGATTTCATTTTAGACGGTCACGATCTATAGTCAGGATTTTAATCATAACGTTGTGGTGTGTTTGATTAGTCTGGCCCCCAGATTTAACATGACATATGTGTCATCGCCACGTGAGCTATCTTACTTGGTGTACAAAACAGCTCAGGAACACCTAATTTCTTTCACTCCACATGCCACGCTCCCTACCTATTTAGTCATCTTCTTATCACCAATGAATTGTTACCAAACACATATAATAACATTTCTCCACATTAATATCTAGCACAAACATTCGAATAAATCTTTATTCATTATATTTGGTTTTAAAAACTAAAATTTGAAATAGTACAATTTCATTATAAATCTCTTTGGTAAACTTTATTAGTCTTCATTTTCTTAAAGCAGTAATCATAGGAGACATATCAGAGACTGACATGTTGACAAGTGTCGTAATTTAAGTTGACTGAGTCGAATAATGAACGGTTATTACGGGTTGATGTGGCCGGTGAAATTAGGTCCCACGTTTGCTCATGCGCGTGCCTTCTCTGATAATTCTCGCCGAAGAAAAGGTCCATCGAATCTGGACCGTTGGATTTAGTGATGGGTCCGACGTAGTGCGTGGATAGCATCTTAGAAGTTGCGGTCCATGTCAGCGGGTGTGGACAAACCCGCACCATATTAACAACTTGCCTGCCATTCTCTTTGCACCTTATTAGCCACTTTACCAATAGTGTATGTTTTTTTTTCTCGAATACACTTTTGGAGTAGATAACAAATCTGATGCAACAGTTTGTTTCAGGTAAAAAGATTAGAATCAATGACTCAGATAGATTTTTTTTGTTCTTGATAACCCAGTATCCAGACGACACAGTGATCTGACTAGCCTACTGGGCCTAAGCCCGCGTCACAGGAATTTTTAAGCCTCCACTTAAGGGCCCCCTGATAAACTGGTGGTCTGGGGCGCCTGAGCAAGTCCGCAGGTAAATTCCCAGGTGGCCACAAGAGTGAGAGAGCGAAACTGCGTCTGGGGAGGATCGATCCCTGGCCTATACCAACAGGGCGATCCTTCCAACCAAACGAGAACCACTCGCCCACCACCATGTGGTTACTCAGATAGATTTACAGATGGATTTGATTCGTTTTCAACTGAACTTTGGTTTAAGAGTTTAAAAAGTAAAAGACTGTCGTAGAAAGTATGGTAAATATTTACGCTCAAGGCCTTTTAAGAGTTTGACTCCTTGGAGGGGTTAGTTGGCTGGTTTAGTGGGTTCGATGTTTGGATTAATTGATTGTTTCAATTTAGTTTTCATGTGTACTAGTGGGCTAACTTAAAACGGGTGATTTTATTGGGCTTCCTTCTTTTCAGCTTTAATAGAAACAGGCAACGTCTTTGATCCTTCCATTCATTTCATGCTAAAATATCGCGCATGTATAGATTACACCACAATTAAGTTGATATTAAACACCACCGTTTGAAATTTAAAAGATTGATGGCAGAAGATGAGCCCAAACACAACTTTTATGGTAGATACCATCTATAACTTTACGATGTACGGATACCCTACATGGACGACCAACCAATAAGCACTTAAGCAGCACTTACTATTACAGTATTACTAATCATCGCATCACTTGTAAATTGAGAAAAAAAAGAAAAAAAAGAAAGAAAGAAGAAGCTCGCATAAGGACTTCAGGGGCCTCAATAACATGTGGGCTTTTAATTTTATAATTAATGCCTTCACGAAATAAGATATAGGTCCATTAACAGCTATTATCCCGTAACTTTTCATAAACACTGTAGCTAAATTCTTGCTCTTGCTTAGGTAATATTTTATCACCGAATAACTTTTAATGTTGTAAGATTAATTTATCAATGTATAGCACGTGTGAACTGTTTGGTTTTACATGTTAGATTAACACTAAAGTGTTGTTCAAAACCCAAGAAAGCAAGTGCATTGTTCCTTTTTTAAGTTAAAAACCTCTCTTCTTTGAGCCAACCTTTCTCCTTTTCTTCTTTCATGTAATGATAAATATTCCGTAAGGACGGAGCAAGTTTGATGGCGCACGAGAGTTCTTTTTCAGAAGTGAAAACCCCTGGCGCATGTTAGTAGGGTCCCTTTGATAAAAAGAAAAAGAAAAGATAGAGAGTGAGAGACCCATGCTCAAAAGTATTATCATGCGCCATTTTATATGGTCCTAAGTCCCATCTCTAACCGATTCTCATCTATCTATCTTTTTCTCACCTTTTTCATATTATATGTTTTCGTTTTTTCCATCTTCATTGTAGATTTCTTATCCGTATTTTTTCTTCAATAGTGTCGATACACCATTTCTGTTATTTACTTGAAAATGAACATGTGTATTAAGTCAGAATATTAGTTCGGATTCATTTGGTTTTACATAAATTCACGAGTACAACATTTAAAAACATACAGACTTTCCTCTATTCTTCACGACTTATTATAGCTTTTAACTATTATTAAAGCAAAAAGGTTAACTACTCAATGCCAAGTGCAAACACATCATTAAAGAATTATCAACATCCAAATAGCATCACACACGTAATAATATTAAAACAGTGATAGAAATATCCCACATGGACATATGAATAGTCAATGTCAAAAAGATTATTTTGGAAAAGAAAAAAAAACGATAAGAGAGAGGGAGAGATCTCTCACAGATCAGTCCAAATGAGTTAATAATCACAAAATTATCAAACTTCCGAGCACTTTCGAAACTAATGATTGACATTTTGATTTCCCACTTCACTTTATTAATCTAATTTTAGTATAATAGTCCAAGTTGAACTCTTCAACATATGTACTTAAAGAAAACTATGAAAAAAAAAAACTTTATAATTAATTGTTCTCATATGTATAATATAACTTAAGTATAAACAAAGAATACAAAGTACATCCGCTTCGCATTCGCACTATAGAAATAGGATACTAATTGTATATATATCAACTAAACTTTATAATATATTTTCTCATCTACTAAAATTTAGTATTAACTTTTTTCCTAAGGGTGGGTATGTGAAGAAGATAAGATAATTACTTTTTTTTGTTTTTCTTTAGCTACAAGGGTCGAAACTGGCCTTGGAATGTTGAGCTACCAGAATCTCAGAAGCAGCCCATAATTTGGTAGCGTCGGATGAGTTGGATCCGAGTCCAGACGGCGTCGTTTCATTACAGTCCGTAAAATACTTTCCCGATACGTTCACCAGTCTTGGATTTGTTGCCACGTAACACGTCGTTGCTGCTGCCTAATCCCATGCCAAAAAAAAAAAGTAGCACATAAATCCAATAATCTTAAACAGGATTTCAAATAAAAAGAATAACTTATCCACCACAGATTATGTTATAAAGTATAAACTTTATAATTAAAGAAAATAACAACTAATTACTTGAGGGACGGTCTTAACGAGCTTGGAAGCCAGGAAGAAGACGAGATCTAAGTAGGTAAGACAAAAGAAAGTCATATAATTAGGAATCTTAATCATGATTATAGTTGAAGATAAACTAATATGCATGATAATGTAATGAGAAAAACTAAAATAAACCAACCTGTCAATAAACCTTCTCGGTCTCTTGTTAACCGGGTTCTAACAACTCCTGGGTGTACGCAATTTACCGTCACGTTGGCTTCAATTTTCTGCATATTTTTTTTCTTTACAATTAAATTCTATTTTTTATATACTAAACTTTAATCACTTTATTTTAATGACCCACATGATTGTCCTAAATCCTAACTATGGTCAATAGTCAAATAAACTTTCTAGTGTGTGACTTAACAAACACTTTCATAAAATTGGTTAGAATACAAATCTCCTAGTTATCTAGGTTTCTTGTTGTCCCCTTCCCATACCTTTCACCCTTTTATTTTACACTTAGAAAAATCAATAAATTTGACCATTAGGACACATTAATTTCTAACATAATGCTTCTGAGTTTTTTTGGGGAATAATTAACTTTTTGGGGAATAATTAAATGGATGCAAGTAAATAAGAGAGATAGAGGGTGGAGAGAAAGAGACCTGGAGTCTAGAAGAGAGCTCCTTGGTATGCAAAACGTTGGCAAGCTTCGAGAGAGCATACGCACGTGTCGCATCGAATTGACTAATCGATCAAAACCAAACAAAAAAGAAGAAGAAAGATTTACTACATTTCCAAAGGTCAAAACTTTTTACTTCTCTTTCCCATTTATTACCCTCCTATCGAGTTCCTGTCACTTATCAATCAAAACATTAACAACTACGCAGCTTTTTGCATTAGGTGAAAAAGTAAATTCCTCGACAAAGTTTTATATTTCTAGGCTTCTAGCTATTAGGTTCTTATATGTGAATTGTAGATATGGTACAGTATTTACTCTTCTGATTTGGAGTTTTGATGTCTAGGAAACACAATTAAGTATGGAATGGAACATTTATGCCTCGTGACTCAACCACAAAAACAAAAAGATAACTTACCACTTGGGTTGTGAAATCAGCCGGAGATATTCGATCAAGTCACCGGAAAACCAGCCGTGAATACCCGACGTAACGTTAACGATCCGTCCTTGAACTCCTGTTTCCTCTGCCGTTTGAATCATCTTCTTTAGCAAAAGATTTGTCAAGAGAAAATGGCCTGATAATTATGAATTGATTAATACTCCATTAAGAAGGCTATCAACCAAAAAAAATATTATATAGGGTAATTAAGATCTGTCATAGACAAGGGAATCGAATAATTAAGAAAATAGTTGTATACCTAGGTAATTAGTGGCAAATGTCATCTCGATCCCGTCTTCGGATATTGCATGTTCATGTGCTAACTTGCCTGCGTTGTTTCTGATTCGAAAAATTGTATTAAAAAACAAATCATCACATGAGATAATATTTAAAACAAATCACATTCAAAGAAAACAAAATTAAGAACTAAGATTATGTTCTGTTCACATAATTCCCTATGTGTGTAAGAATACATATACAATTTTATACATGCATATCGATTATTTTGATTATTAGGGATAAGATTAAAGACTTACATGAGAAGATTAAGAGGAAGATCAAGAGACTCGAAATCGGCGACGAAGTTTCGTACGGAGGCGATGGAACTGAGATCAAGCTCCATAACGACGATCTCTGTCTCCGGAAACTCAGAGACGATTCTCTCCTTCGCTTCCTCCGCCGCTTTCACGTTCCTCGCCGGGAAAATCAACCTCGCTCCTCGTTTCGCCAACACTCTCGCCGTCTCTGCTCCGATCCCCGACGTCGCACCTATCACCAAATCAACATCGAGTTAGAATCTCCCGACGTTTCGTTTCACCGGAAAAAGAAAAAACAACTCACCGGTGATTATCACTGTGACGGAACGAAGGTCGCAGTTCTCGGTAACCTCTTCGGCGGTAGATTTAGAGCCGAAGCCGCTAGCACCGGCGGCGCCGAGAAGGTATTTTCCAGTCTCAATCATCGGAGTTTGTTCTGTTACCGGCGACTGTTATGTGAGTGAAGAGTCTTTCTCTTTCCGAATAAATATGAAAAAAATTAAAGCCACAAAAATAAAACAGAAGAAGAAGAAGGAAGAAAACAAATAAGAAGGAACGTAATTGCCGTTTTCGGTTAGAAGGGTATAATGGTAAATTAAAGTATTATTATCAGAAAAACTGTGTTTCTCTTGTCAAGTTTTTGTAGGCAACGCCGCCTGGCTAATGAGAAGAAATAGTAATTTGTTATTTATAGTCAACCTTTTATTGATGAGGTAAATAAAAGTTGATACAAAATTATTCATTCTTTTTTTTTTTTTTTTTTTTTTTTTTTTTTTTTTTTTTTTTTTTAAAATTATTCATTCTTGTACTCTCTTCTTGTTTAAAATCATTTCCTAGTGGTAGGTCTAGTTGAATATAATAGTTTTATACTATATTATGATATTATTTGTCAACAATATTAATTCTTGTTTTAAAAACCTACAAGAGAGCTTTAGCAAAAGATGCTGCATTACGATGAAGCAGAAAATACTGCGAAAACAATGCATACAAAAGTCACAAGTTTATCTAAAATAATGGAGTACTATTAAATTTAATCTTTACGAGATTACATGTTGATAAAGAATGATTTTTTTTTTATTATGGACAAATTTAAGGTGATTCAAGAATGGAAACTCAATTTCAAAATAAGTTTTCCAAAAATAACTAAATGCTTCCTTTGACCTTTGTCAAGTTCTTGTAAGCAACAAGAGTTTACCTTTTTTACATTTTTGATATATAAAGGTGATATAAATAATTAAACAAATAATGGAAAAAAATCTAAACTATTCAACACAAATTAAAAACATATCAATGGTGTAACGGGAAACAAATCATCAACTTTTGGTATGGGTTGAATTGTTATTATCAATATTTAGAGAGCTATCATGTGCCTTTTGGTAATTATCACTTTTTTAAAAAAAAAATATGTGACTCATTGGATTGATGAATAATTTATGAAGCTATTTTGGTCAAACCTAGTTAATTACTCAGTATTTAAACTAACTAACAGCTGTCAGCTTTTGATTGGAGCTTAAAATATACATTAGTTCCTATATTTGAATTTTTAACTAACGTACTCAATACTAGTAGTATGAGTTTATTAACCTTGTTTTTGTACAGCAAAACAATTGAGTGGAATCAGATCAAAAATGGAAAACGATTGTCGTCGAATGCAAGATATTAACGGTCAAACGGCCTAAGGTTTGACTACTTATAGGGGACAATTATACAATCGTGACGTATTAGTTGTAAACTTGGTGTCACTCATTAACTCGTTATTCTATCCTCATTTACTAATCCTAAATTAAACAAATTATTTGTATTTCCTATATCAATCTCGGAATAAACGCCGGTCTTGGGACTACCGGCGACGATAGTTTTAAAAATCGAAATTAAGAAATAATGAAACAATTTAAAGAAAATTGGTCAGAAAATCTGTACATATTAAAAAGTAATGCCCTTTTTTACGTACATATTAATGCTCAAAGTGTGTCTAAAAAGTATAGACTTAAAATGTTACGTAAAGTAAAGAAACGGTTAAAAAGTATTCAAACGGTGAAGTTCAGTAAGTTTCCATTGAATTCAGTTCAAATCCATATATTTAAGCCTAGACTTATGCGGATAAAGACTAAAGAGATGATTAGAAAATTAATGATATTTGTAACTATGGAGACAGCGAGTAGTTAAAGCAGTAAACGTGACAACGGCAAGAGAGGCAATGTGGATGAATGAGGAAGTAATTAGTCTCGTAGAAGCGTTATTAAAGAAGAATCTTGTGAGAAGGTTTACGCACGTGAGGTTTACACACTGCGTGCTGGATCGCTTCTCCTCTCCCTTGGAACACGGTCATCTACTTTTTTTATTTTAATTTGTTTACTAATTAGTTTGGTTATTATTTGTTAATGATCAATTATTTTTCAATAATTCAGTCTCCGTAACATCCATTAATACCGTTTTGTAAGTCATCTTGTAATAGGTTTTGTTGTTATATTATAACATTCAGCCAATGATTATATATATATATATATATATATGCTTGAAATTTCGTTGAATATAAGGCTCACATGCACCTTTCACGAATGAACGTATTTTACTTGAGAAAAAAATTATATATTCAAATATCAATAAGACAGAGTTTCCAAGTAGGAAATGAATAAAAATATCTGTTAAATTGTAGAGGAATGAATGAGATGAATATATTTCTTTCACTTTATCCCATATTAATTCACATGTAGTTTATATCCCAAACTCCAAAAAAAAAAATCTCATTCTTTTTACAATCTTCGAACACATTCAAAAACCATGTAGTTTATGCGAAGCCTTCTTTAGAGCATGATTAACAATGGTATCTTAAAAATGGTTCTTAGAAGTATTAAAGTAATAATATGACATGTGGTTGGTTCTTAAGGTTAGTTTTGGATCTTAGCTAAACCACTTTTCTTAGTTTTGGGTTTTAACTAAACCACATTTCTTACTTAAGAACTCTTTAAGATACCCTTATTAATGGTGGTCGTATCTCTCTTGTTTGGCACATCTGAGAGCTTCATGTGTGTTCCCTTTCATACATATAACATAGTAACAAACGACAATAGATGATTGGGGATGCAAAGCTTCTCTCCTTCCTTACCTTTTTCGTATTGTCCTTGTTGTGTCTTGAGTACAAGATTCCAGCTCATTGTCACGTTTGTAGCTCGATTGCGCTTATCCAAAAGTGAGTTTAAGTGAATATTGAACTCTTACTCTCCATCAGTGTTTTCTTACCCACTTTTTTTTTTCCGGAGATAATGTGTTAAAATGTACTCTTTTTGATCTAGTGTCTTCGAGTACTCTAGTTTTGTCAGAGACTTTTCTCTATAAAGAACTTGCTTCAGTCCAGTGACCTAATTTTGGATCAGACTATGAATTTTGTTATTTCACCTGACAGTACTATCTAGGCCTGAGCAAAATACCTGGAACCGAATATCCGAACCGAAAAACTCGAAAAATACCCGAACCGAACCCGAACCCGATTTTTAAAAATACCCGAATGGGTCCTAACCTCCTACCCGAAAAAAACCGAACCTAACCCGAACCGAATCCAATACCCGAATGTACCAAATACAAATATACACCTAAAAATATTAGTTATATTTATATTTATAATACTCAAAATACCTAAAATTACAATCATAAATCCGAATATATTAGGTATTTTTGAGTAATTCGGATACATTTGGATATATTTGGTTAAAAAGTAACTAATGATGTAGTTTTTTTTTGGGTAATTTTAGTATTTTTAGAATTTTTGGTTATATTTGGGTAAAGAGTAACCAATGTATTTTCGAGAAATCGGGTATTTCGGTTAGATTTGGGTATATATGTGTTAAAAATCCGAACCCGACCCGAACCCGAACCCGAAAATATTTCGGGTATTTTTGGTTATTTTCGGGTATTTTGCTTTTTTTATTAAAATACTCGAACCGACCCGAACCCGAACCAAACCCGAACCGAATTTTTAGAATACCCGAATGAGTCTTGACCCCCTACCCGAATAGACCCGATACCCAAAAAAAAAGAACCGAACCCGAATGGGTATCCGAATGGCCAGGCCTAGTACTGTCGATGGACTATGAATTCTAAATGACAAAAGTTATGTGGCTCACATAATTACAAACCACACTTATGAAAAAAAATAAACAATCAACAGTATCGCCTCATCAACAGGACAACATGGTAATGTTAAAGAGCATATCAACTATGGCCAAAGGCAAATCTGTCCAAAAAAGATTGAAAACGTTACTTTCTTAACCACTTAAACTAAAAAGTAAAAAACCACTTTCGGTTTAAAACAAAGGGAAAAATTGGAAATATAGAGATAATGAAAATTCAGCTTTTTGGAGCACTTGTATTGGCTAGCCAACGAAACTGGGGACCCTTTTTCATTTTCCACATACGTATACGTCTTCCTCGGATATATTAATACTTCTTTTTTTCTTTGTGAAGGTCGATTAACAATATTTTTTGGGTTAAAGTTAACATTTATTACGTAAATGAAATATAACATGAAGTCATCTCTGCCTTATTTACTTTTTGTTAATACTCGTCTCCGCATTTTATTTTCGGAAAATTGGTTATTGAGAATGCTTTCGATCGTCACTTTCAACATTTAACCCAAAGTACGTCTTTAGAATCATGATGATGTTGATATATAATTATATATACTTTTAAATACGTAGTTATCGAAATAGTTATCAATATGACAATATTCTACCGAATTTGAAAGTACATATTATATTTCTGTAATGAATATTCTTTTCTGGCTTGTTATGCGTTTCTCTTTCGTTATAATTAGAAAAAGGTAAAGTTCCTCATCATAACGAATGGAATGGCGTCTTCCTTATCAAGCGAAAAGGTGTCATGGGACAATTTGTGGCTTCCATATATCAATCATATAACACAAAGCTGACAGAAGATAAGTATATTAATTAGTATAGTAGGAAATGAAAAAAAAAACATTAAGAAATCTACTTTCGTACATAGTCCTCATTAATATCCATAGAGAGAACATATGTTACGTACGTTCACACTTACATGTGTTCTTATGTTAGTGATTTGGTTAACTACTTGAGCTTTAAATCTTTAATATAAACTAATTTTCATAATATCCATAAACTAATTTTCATAACATCGTACATTACAAGACTCATTTCTACCCGGTGAGGAAAGGAAACAGCTAAATTGCAAATGTTCAACACCTAAAGGTACTCATGGTCCAGCTCCTACTTTCATCGAACATTGGTATTTCACCGAAGAAAATAATAAAATCATTTTGGTAATTGACTTTCTAACACAAAAATGGATGACTGAAATGAAAAATAATAATCAATTACTCAAAACCTTTTTTTTTCAATTGTGTTTCGCTGTTACATTTATAATAGTCAAGTAAATAAACATGTATTATGGTTTCCAAAATGTAAGGAAAATGATCATCAAAAGAATGCACTCAGCATAAAAAAAAGAAAAAGAAAGAATGCAGCATGGTAATGTGAAACAGAAAACGAAACAATTTTAATCGAACAGTCCATATTTTATTGCAAACGGTTTTTTTTTTTTGTTTTGTTCAACTATTGCAAATGGTTATAGAATAAAGTTATGTAAAACATTTTTAAGTTTGACTAATGAGAAAATGCACATGGGG